GTGCTAGCTCTCGAAGTTCCTGATGAGCTTCTAATAAAAAAATAATAACAACCCAATCCTACATACAGATATCAATATCAGCGTTATTGTGATGCAATGCCACAAATCATTGATATATATATATATAGCACATGTTTCACCAGCATAAGGCATAAATCATTACAGTTAGTACTTTATTTGAATAAGATTAATAACAATTCTCTAGCTCTAGTTGTGTACAATCAATAAATGTCTATATCTTTTCCTAAGGGACTTTTAAGAAAATAACTTAAACAAATCTATACAGTATAAAAAAATACATTCACACCTTTTTACATACAATTGTATTTCTGATGCACATTTTCAGAGGTCAACTAGTTACTCTGAAATTTTAACCTTCTATTGTACGCATTATGAAAATATAGTGGGAAAAAATGTTTTTGCAAAATATAATTTGGTAAGTCATAAATGGGTGTATTACCTAGAAGTAACATAGTTCCATTGAGGAACCCATGAAAATAATTCCAAGGCATATATAAGAGCATTCACCTACAGAACTGAAGCATTTGTTTAGGTATTAAACAACAAATACAGATTTGTTAACTGTACGTTACAATGTGAAATATTGGGTCAAGAATGAATGAAATTCTGTAAATACAGATTTAAATGGAAGATAATACTTACCTCATATCCATCATCAGTGTTCTGAAAATCATTCTATCACAACCTGGATGATCTCCAAATAATTATTTAAAATGCAGATTTAACACTAAATAAAGTTTCTTTTCTCACAGATACAAGGAAGATTTTCATTTATTCTAGACACAACATCACACATAATATCTCACCTAATTTTTTTTTTTTACTAAAACAAATTCTGAATTTCCTATAACTCTAAATAATAATTCATAATGATGGCTTAGGTTCACTTCAACATATGTGATAACTACTAGTTATGCAGATTTCATTATAATGATTAATGTACATCTGTAGTAAAATAAAAACGGTTTCTGGAATGTAATAAATATTTACCTCTAAAATGAGATACTTTAGTTCCTCATCTGAGAGAAAAGATGGCTTGTAATGACCTTCTGTATAAGAATTTATGGATCCTGTAACAACATAATAAAAATATTGTAAACTAAATTCTGGTTGCTTATAACAGTTTATCTAAATATTAAACCATGAAGCAATATTTATAAGAATACCTTAAAATGCAAAGCGTGTGTAAAACTCATATAACAATAAACTGTAGAATTGTTATCAGTAGATAAGATA